TTTATGATGAAAGTAATTGGCTCTATTCGAGAACGAATATCCAAAGTCATACTCAAGATGTGGTAATGTTGGACGGACATGAGCTCCTTTTCTGTTAAGGTCGACGTGTAAAAAATGGACATCAAAACCTGCACAATTCTCTTAGCGACACATGCTTCATGCGTTGCAATATGGAAATAAGCAGCACACTTGATCACATCTATTCAAATCTATGATTTGCGGTTCAAAGTTTTATAACTCAGAATGTAAAATTACCTGGAACGCTATAAGTAACTCTTGGGGTCAAATTTCTCCACCGCAGGCCTGCACCTATAGGATCATGGCGAACTAATGCCTCTGCGATGGCAGATCTTCTAGCGTAGAGGGATCGAGCCGCTAATTCACCCTCGATCATAATGATGCCCGCATTCACACTTCTGGACTTTATTTCAGCCACTATATCTATCAGCTCTTGCATACCTAGCTTCCTTCTTCCATAATGCTTTCTTCTTTCCATTTCATGATAGATGCGACGTCTCCATATTGTTGAAATCGAGACCCCTGCGAAAAGTATCACAGGTAAAATCGTATGAGACACCCTTTATAGCACGATAACGGCGAATATGAAACATAGATCAACCTGTGGCCAATATAAAGCAGCCATATCGATGTTCAAAAACTTTTTAAAATATGAATTAAAATAAAAGAGAACACATCCATTCTCGAAAAAAGGGGCATGACAAAAAAAAAAAAGAAAAAATACGAATGACTCCGCGTGAGCATTTTCTTTATTATGAAATTATTTTTGGCTCACCTAGTGCTTTCGCTATTTCTACCCATGACAAACCAAAGGAGCGCATCACTTCCAACTGCTCCTTCGTAATTACGTAGGATGGTCTACCAACCCATTCCGTTGAGGTCACAGGTGCCCGGTAACACAACTGCTCCCTTAGAAAAGGAACAAGGCAGCTGTACTGCTCGATAACTTTACCAATCCTTATTTCTATGGTCGACAGACTTTGAACTAATGGGGCCAAAATGTCCTCAGCACAGGGTTTCGTGGTTATAAGATGCCATTGGATTTTTCTTAAATTCATTACAGCGGCTTCCAACTTAGTCCAAAGGCCGGTTAGTCTTTCTGGAGTTGAAGTACTGTCCTCAATGGCAGATCGGGCTGTAAAATAAAGCGCTTGAACGTCCAGCACAAAGTGTTCTATCGCGTCCGGATTGAGACTAACAACTGTAGAAGAAGTATGTCATTAAATAAGACAACATTGACCGAGGGTCTCAATGGGGTAACCGTTAGCCGTAAAACGGCCACAAAATTTTGCCTTTAGGCGTAAAAATTGACGAATTTTAACCGTTAATCGTATAAAAAAAAAAGTTGACCGTACACAAAAAAAATCCTGGGACAGCAATGGAGAGAGATTAACCATTAGCCGTATATGGGAAAAAATTTTAACCGTTAGCCAAAAAATCCAACACCCTCTTGAGATCTTCTTGACCGTTTTGGTAGTCCGGGACCTAGAAGGGGGAACGAGATATATTCTTATTCTAAAACACGAAATTTGCGCAGCAAACGATCATTGACATAGCTGAAAGAGCAGTACTTAATAAGGAACACTGCTTTATCAGTTTAAATCGCATCTACAGTCCAGTGATAGCCTTTTT